TAGTATATAGAACCACCAAATTGTACTGGCAGGCTAGCTAGGCCGGATGGCGAAAGTATTATACTTGTTTGGTGACAGGTGAGGCCCTGCTAATTGCCAATTGCCAAGGCTTGAGAGGCTCTATCTATGCGTTGGCGTGAGGGGTTATTGAGGCCACTCGACGTAGTGGCAGGAGTTTCAGGCCTCTCGATGACTATAAGACAGAAAACAGGGGAAGGGAGTGACAGGTGAGGCCCTCTCTATGCAACATGCGAGGCGGCTAGCTAACGTGTGGCCCGATGGGTGTTTGCCTCTGGAACGTTTGAGGCAGGGTGTTGGCCTCGCGGGACCACTAACTGATGGTGACTGCCAAGACGGGGTAAATACCTATTGGGAATCCTGTGACCCTATTGCCAGTACTGTAAACTAGGGGGATGAAATGAAATGTATGGTAGAATACCATATGAGCAGGTGTACGTACCTGGTAGTATGACAAAATCACAGTATGAATAAAGCGTGTGGAGCAAATATATAAGCTTGACAGCCTAAAAATGGGTAAAAGAGTAGTATGATGAGTGTGGAGTGTGAAAAGAAACAGACTTATAGCCTGTAGCAGCAATGTTTTAAAATTATGTTGATACCATGGGAATAGATATGAGTGGCTCAGAAATGTGTGCATGCTTGAATAAGACATCTGAGGGAGGCCGTGGCCTCTGTACAAACAATCTATGTGTTATGTGATAATGGTGTGTAAAGGAAAACATGAAATGTAGGTTATATACATATGTATATGACTGTGCAGGAAACGTATGATTGGTTGGATCAGTACGTGTGATTCAACCCGAGTATGCATGAAAAAGGAATTAAGCCTTATGTGTCATTGTCATGACAGAGAAATGAGGCCTGTAATATAGGCTGAGTGAACTGAAATGAAATGGATAATTATAAAACTCCTGGCGTGGGAGTTCAATGATCTGTACAGAAATGTAGTTGGTTTTATAGAAAGGGACATGGATGAGGTCATGGCCTATTTTACACAGCGTTATGTATGATATATAGCAGAATAACCAAAGGCAGGGGTACCCAAAATGTAAAGTGATGTATATCTATATGATATATTTGTATTGAAAAGACGTATCAACCCGAGAATTATTGCTTAAATGAACCTGTATCCTTTGTATGTGTTGTAGTAATAACACAGAAGGGAGGCCTGTAACATAGGTTGAGTCCATTCGTATGAATGGATAAGTAATGCAGACCCCTGAAAGCGTGGGAGTCAAATGGTCTATACAGATAAGTGGACGTAATACAATACTGACAATATTTAAAAGTAAAAGAAATAAACTATTTAAACAAGCAATTCTTAACTGAACGTTATATACACATGAAATGGTGAATATAATGCATGAAAGGATTATACGTAATACATAGAAATAAAGCCGAAAGCAAATGTGAGGGAAACACAGAAGTTAGAATAGTTTAACCGTATGACTTTATGCGAACCGAAAGCGTGTTTGAGCGTATGTGAAAATTGTCGAACGGCAAAACAACCGAATGATAATTCGTTTCAATATAACATGAAATAGGATATGCGAAATGACTATTGAACGATTAAATTGTTCAGCCGAATGACCGTACGAATGAAAAAGCCCGCGAATGGCTTGAAACATTCGTGTCATAACCAGGGGAAAAAAACGTAAAGCGAGGACCCGTGCTGTACCGTATGCCGTGGGAACCGGTCCTGGCGTGACAGGTAGGTCTGACTTACGGTTTAGGAGTCCCTGGGACGTGATCTACGACGAAGACCGGAGTCAGAAGAAGCTGGACGGGCGGAGAGGCCTGAACAGGATTCCTGGACACAGCTAACGTGGTGAAACGTGGTACTGAACCCAAGATGGCGTCTGAGAGAACCCGGAAGTGGATCCTCATTCAACGCTGACCTCGAACGGTAAGGAGCAAGGTAAGGGGAGTGCCTTAAGTAGGCTAGGGGTAGTAAACTAGCACCTCCCACAAATTCAGGCAAATTGCCTTTATATATATATATATATATATATATATATACATACATACATACACACACACACACACACATATATATATATATATATATAATTTTTTTTAACTGTATAGTGAGAACTGTGTGACTGTGTGTATATACACTAGTGTTTATATTGTTTTTACTGTGCATAGTGTGATGTATTATGTATGTGTGTTCTGCATAAAGTGTGCACTTTGTTTAATGTGTGTACGAGGTGTGTGTTGTGTAGAGTATATGCTCTGTATAATGTGTATGTATTGAATATAGCATGTGTACTGAGTATAGTGAGAACTGTGTATTGTGTGTGCTTTGTATATTAAATACTATGTATGGTGTGATGTATAATGTATGTGTGTTTTGGGTATTAGCCTTGCTTATATAAATATCTTTATTCCTGCTCCTCCACAAGCCTTGCAAGCCCACCCAGACCAATAAACATTGTCATTGCAACCCAGAAAGATAGATCATACTTATAAATGGCTCCTTCCCACGATTATTCCCATGATTAAGAGCCTTGATAATGTAAGAGCCTTGATAATATAATAATCATTATTCCCACCCCTTCCTTGCCCTTCAAGCCCTCCCAATGCTCCGCCCAGGCCTCATACGTAGTGACATCAGACACATGCAATGATGTTGATGGAATGGCATCAGATGTCACTCCATTTAATCTACTGATGTGCTCGCAATTAAACCATCACATCCACATCATCAGATGTGTGTATCAGGTGTTGGAATGCTTTCCGAGGCTTTCCCAAAGAAACCATGATCTGGAAGGCCTGTTAATGGCAGCACTGGAACATTTGGAATGGAGGTGAAGAATCATTTTTAGTATGTTTTCCGCTTAATTATTATATTTAACTCATATTTAAAAATGGACATCGGGTTCAATTTAAGAATAATTTTAGGAAACTGAGATTTATGTACAAGTATAGACAATTAATTATTTAGTTTGATTAATATTTTACATTTGCATATATTGGCTTTCCCTTTTAACACTGCAGCGGATGAGTCCCTGCACCGGAAATTAGATAAGTAATCTTTATTTATAAATGCTTCCACATCCGGGACAAAGATTCTGGACTCAATCGTGTCCATTAAAATAAGTTCTTTATTAAACATGAAGTATTAAATTGGATCACCATGTGCAGAAGGGGACACAGAGGAAAGAAACCCTAAAGTGTTTTGTCCCATACAAAGCACTTCCTCCACTCAAACTATCCTACTCAAACACGTTAAATACATACCACAAACATCCATGTAAATATGCAGCCCCAGTAGGAGTGAAGAAACAATAAAACTTGGAAGTCCCTAGTTAACTAAATGCAAACAAACAAACAAAACAAAAAAAACGCTCACACCTTTTGTATAATCAAAAATAAAAAGATAGGAAAAAGTGAGAGAAAAAAACAGAAAAACTATAACAATAAATACATCTTCACCACCTACACTAAAGCAAATAAGATAAAAATAAAAATAAAAAAAATTCTGCTTCTAATATCAAATTATAGAATTAAAGTCCGTTGGAAACACCTCTTGCATGATCATTTCTATTCATTCAGGACTCCTGCATCCTGTGATCAGCCCTGGTAAATTATTAATTAATACACTATTAGGCTACTAAACACTTTAAATTGCTTGCTTTGTGTAGTTGTATATTTAATTCAAGAGAATATTTACTCTATTCTCCTACTAACACTAAATAAGTGGCAATCTTCTTTTCATTAACAGCATAAATATTTTTCTACATATAGTCGTTAGGCTAATCTTAATTAACTTGCATAATTTGGTAATAGACGCTTTTTCTAAAACACTGTTATTGGTTTTTTGCTACACTTTATGTTACATTTTCCTGTCACACTGTAATATTGTCTCCAGTGTGTAACAATCAAGAATTGCTGCAATAACAGCCTATATGTGGGCGAAGCTTATTTAGCTTACTAATGTTTTCACAGCTTAGGTAATAATGCCCACCTGATATACTAGGTGACTAGGGGTTTTAATTGGTTTTTTTTTACTCCTAGTAAGGCTGGAGATTTACATGAGTGTTTGTAGTATGTATTTAACTAGAGTTGAGCGGACACCTGGATGTTCGGGTCCGGCAGGTTCGGCCGAACTTTGAAAAAAAGTCCGGGTTTGGGGTCGAACTGGACCCCGAACTTGACCTCGAACCCAAACCCCATTGAAGTCAATAGGGACCCGAACTTTTGTCCACAAAAATGCCTCAAAAAAACTCCTGGAAAGAGCTAGAGAGCTGCAAAAGCAAGTAAAATGGGGTTAAGAGTAGGACAAGTGCCCTGCAAACAAATGTGGATAGGGAAATCACTTACAATAACATAAAAATTAAAAATACAGCTGAGCCATAAAATAGCACTAGATGGAATCTTTGATTTTAGCTTTGGAAGAACATAAATCAAAATCTAAAGCATGGCTGTCAGGAGGATCACCAGAATTATCCATTTGAGAGAGGGTTGGAGTGCAGGGTATTCTCTTTCATTGTTGAAACTAAGCTCAACTCCTGATGCATGGAAAAAAAGCCGTGGCGGTGGAGGAGGAAGCAGCGGTGGAGGAGGAGGAGGAGGTAGCCAACACTGTATTTTATGTTTTGTTTTGTTTTTTAATTGTGGTAGCCCACAAAATATTTGGACATACAAATAAAGAAACATTTGCAGTCCTGATGCATGGAGAAATGCTCAACTCCTGATGCATGGAGAGACGGCCTTCACAAGCCTCTGCTTATGTGTACCTAGTTTATACTAAGTGACCCATAGGTTGAGGAGGCGGTGACCGTGGAGGAGGAGGATGAGGTAGCCAACACTGTTTTTTTTAATTATATTTATCTTTTTTTTTTTTTTATTGGGTTAGCCCCCAAAATATTGGCACATATAAAAAAAGACAACTCTGTTCCGCAGAGTAGCTGTTGACATAATAGTTGCGCAGGAACTTTGTTGACTCTAGAGAACCTCGGGCAAATCGCACATCCTCGTGGCAGCAACTTTGCATGCGGATATCATCCATATCAACTTTTCGATGCCAGTTTCTACACCTACAATGGTGACCATGGGTAATGGGGAATCATTCCATACAGAGACCCTGAGAAACGGCTACCACATGCAAGGAAGGCAGCAGGCGCGCAAATGACCCACTCCCGACGCGGGAAGGTAGTGACGACAAATAACAATACAGGACTCTTTAGAGGCCCTGTAATTGTAATGAGTCCACTTGAAATCCTTTAACTCTGATCAATTGGAGGGAAGTCTGGTGCAGAGCCACTGACCCGTGCGTGCTGCAGCTGAAACTCCACTATCGCCTGCTGCTGCACGTACAGTCTCATGAGGCGGTGAGCAGGAAGGCCAAAGTTACGCTGCAGCGCAGACAGGCGAGCAGCAGCAGGGTGACCACGCCAAAAGCGCGCACAGCCGCTACAGTAAATGTCACATCCTGTTCCATGTTGTGGATCTGTCTGGTGACGGCTTCTGGTATCCAATACTCTTTTTACTGAAGCTGCATCAGTGTCCTGGTATGTGGCCGCACAAACACTGGTGCTCAACACCAGGGGGCATACGGTTACCCTGCACCAGACCCTGCTAATCCATTGCACACTGTGACTCCTAACTTCAACATCAGGTAACTTCAACATCCTGGTCATCCTACCGTCACCCAGGCAGTGTCTGGGTCCTGGTCACAGGACTGCCCACCTGACTGTGAAACTACGAATGGATCGTTAAATCTGGTACGAACCTGAACTTTGCAGTTCGGGTTTGCTCAACTCTATTATGGATCCTCTGATCGGTACATGTATTACTTTGATAACTAGTAATTCTTGAGCTAATACATGCCGACGAGCGCTAGGGGACAGCCGCTCAGCTTTTGCACCCTGCTCCCTCTTATGCTCTGCTGGTGCCTATGTGCAACCAGCGCCTCTTCCTCCAAACTGCACACGTCACTCGCATGACCTTGATTCCATGTGGGGCCCAGCACATCATCATCCTCCACATCATCTTCCACCCACTCCTCAACCCTGCACCCCTTGCCTGTATGCACACTGCAGAAAGCCACAGCAGTTGGCACCTGTGTTTTTCCAGCATGTAAAGTCTGCAGAGGATATATGGTAATTGTTTTAGAATTTCCTCCATGCAACAGTTTTCCCTATAAACTGACCTCTCAGTTTGACTTGTGAGGGTATTGCCCCAGAATTACAATATTGTTGAAGTACCTCTTAGCTATTGATCACTGGTTTAAATATAGCATCTTGTTATCTTGTAGTGTAGAAAATATCAATCTGTTTTCTATCACTTAGATCTGTGTAACAAGTGTTGTGGGTGTGAAACAATATTACAAGTGACCGATGTAGTAAATTTGAATCAAAGTTACGCTTCGATTTGACTCTCAGATATGAAGTGAACACCCCAAATATACTATTTAGCACCAACAAAAATAAAAAATTACTTTTTAAAACTCCAATGTAAGCAGCAGATTAGCAGCAAAACAATTAGAATGTTTACAACTGCGCAGTTAGCGCACTATTTGATGCTTCTATTTGACTCTCAGATATGAAGTGCACCGCAGGCTGCAAATGTACTGTTTAGCAGATTAGCAGCAAAACAATAAGAATGTTTACAAGTGCGCAGTAAGCACACTATTAGACGCTTCGATTTGACTCTCAGATATGAAGAGCATGCCACAAAATGTACTATTTAGCAGATTAACACCCAGAAAATAAGAATGTTTACAAGTGCGCTGTAAGCACACTATTAGACGCTTCTATTTGACTCTCAGATATGAACTGCATGCCCCAAAATGTACTATTTAGCAGTTTAGCAGCAAAACAATTAGAATGTTTACAATTGCGCTGTAACTGCACTATTTGACGCTTCGATTTGCCTCTCAGATATGAAAAACAGGCCCCAAAATTTACTATTTAGCAGATTAGCACCCAGAAAATAAGAATGTTTACCAGTGCGCTGTAAGCACACTATTAGACGCTTCTATTTGACTCTCAGGTATGAAGTGCACGCCCCATAATGTACTATTTAGCAGATTAGCAGCAAAACAATTATAATGTTTACAAGTGCGCAGTAACATAGAAACATAGAAACATAGAATGTGACGGCAGATAAGAACCATTCGGCCCATCTAGTCTGCCCAATTTTCTAAATACTTATAGTTAGGATAGCCTTATGCCTATCCCACGCATGCTTAAACTCCTTTACTGTGTTAACCTCTACCACTTCAGCTGGAAGGCTATTCCATGCATCCACTACCCTCTCAGTAAAGTAATACTTCCTGATATTTTAAACCTTTGTCCCTCTAATTTAAGACTATGTCCTCTTGTTGTGGTAGTTTTTCTTCTTTTTAAATATAGTCTCCTCCTTTACTGTGTTGATTCCCTTTATATATTTAAATGTTTCTATCATATCCCCCCTGTCTCGTCTTTCCTCCAAGCTATACATGTTAAGATCCTTTAACCTTTCCTGGTAAGTTTTATCCCGTAATCCATGAACCAGTTTAGTAGCCCTTCTCTGAACCCTCTCTAAGGTATCAATATCCTTCTGAAGATACAGTCTCCAGTACTGTGTACAATACTCCAAGTGAGGTCTGTACAATGGCATGAGCACTTCCCTCTTTCTACTGCTAATACCTCTCCTATACAACCAAGCATTCTGCTAGCATTTCCTGCTGCTCTATTACATTGTCTGCCTACCTTTAAGTCATCAGAAATAATCACCCCTAAATCCCTTTCCTCATATGTTGAGGTTAGGACTCTATCAAATATTCTGTACTCTGCCCTTGGGTTTTTACGTCCAAGATGCATTATCCACATTAAATGTCAGTTGCCACAATTCTGACCATTTTTCTAGTTTACCTAAATCATTTGCCATTTTGCTCATCCCTCCTGGAACATCAACCCTGTTACATATCTTAGTATCATCAGCAAAAAGACATACCTTACCATCAAGACCTTCTGCAATATCACTAATAAAAATATTAAAGAGTAATCACACTATTAGACGCTTCTACTTGACTCTCAGATATGAAGTGCACCCCACTAATGTACTTTTTAGCACCCAAAAAAAGTTTTAAAACTGCAATGTGACAGCAGTATTTGACGATTCTATTTGACTCTCAGATATGAAGTGCACCCCACTAATGTACTACCCCACTAATGTACTTTTTCGCACCAAAAAACAATTTACTTTTTATAACTCTGATGTAACCGCGGTATTTGAAGCTTCTATTTGACTCTCAGATATAAAGTGCACACCACCCCACTAATGTTCTAGTTTGTAGAATTCTTTCCAAAGCTGTCCCTGTCAGCGGCAGCATCCGCTCCCTACACTAATAAGAATGCATGTGCGTGCGGTGCTACGCGACTCCAGCTTCTATATAGAGACTGGGTCACATGCTGCACTGGCCAATCACAGCCATGCTATTAGTAGGCATGGCTGTGATAGCTTCTAAGGGCACACAAGTCAAACACTTGTTGATTGGCTGCCTGCAGGCTTTCAAAACGCGCCATTAAATCGCCGAACACTGAACTCCAACCCGAACATACAGTGATATGTCTGTGTTCGGGTCCGGGGTCCAAAAAACCTAATGTTCAGTACGAACCCGAACTTTTCAGTTCGGGTTCGCTCAACTCTATTGTAACGGATCACCTGGCACCCCGACTGGGTACCTCCGTTGAAGGATGCTCCTAGCGCTTCCTGAGGACTCCAAGCACTCTAGCCGACACCACAACCACCGAATCGGGGAAACATACAAATGCTCTGAAGCATAGGAATGCTGTAAACAGCTGAACAGGAAAAGCATACAATCAGCTTACACTCCTGGCAATCAGCATACGATCCAATTCCCCCAATAATGAGACGACACTTCGTTTTGAGGTCAAGCAGAACTGACTGTACTGGCACATACAGCCTCTTTTATTCACAATCCACAAACATAGTACTGCCCACAGGGTTTTGAAATGCAACCAATCAATCCGTACAATACACACAGACACTCCCACACAAAATCCTCCCCTCTGCCTGTGATATGATTACTGAACACAATGGTTAATCTAATTATCACAGGCAGAGAAATACAGTATTATAAAACATATCACAGGGACCCCAAAACATGCAATAACCCCATAAAATATATCCTCGGAACCGGGGAATCTGGGTGAACCACATATCCAAAATTCACCCAGATCCGTTCAGTAGTTTGGAAGATGCAGTTTAATGCAGATTCCGCAGACCATATAGAGGCTATATGAAAAATAATTACTGTATAATGTGTCCCCTGTTGTATAGTTTAAAACTACTGAACGATGTCTTCGTGTACCAAATACTGTCGAGATGGCACCGTGTAGAAAAGTCCAAACAGTGTCTGTGAGTTAAAATGGCCGCCATCCATTGTTCTCCCCATGTGCTTCATCCATTGTTCTCACCATGTGCCTCTGATACATGAAATGGTGGCCACCCAGTAACTCCACAGTATGTCCCCAGATGGTTCTTAAAGGGCCAGCCGCAACATAATAAAATACAATATGCCCAAATACTGTATTTAAAGGGCCAAATCTCCCAAGGCCATAGTCAGCAGGCAGGAGGCGGGCAAACAGGCTTCTCCAATGCCCAGTGGCGAGGTTGGTTTTGCCACATCTATATTTAACCTGTTTGAGTAATAGAGTGGTAGTCTCTGTGGAAGTGCCTTGAACGACACAATACGCATTACTGTCTCTTTCCTTTGTGCTCCCCTTTGCACATTGCATTCCACTGTAATACTTTGTGTTTCATAAAGGACATATTTTATTCAAAATGTTTGAGTATAGTATATTTGCCATGTATGTGGACTTATCGTTGAGGAAGCATTTATATGTTAAGTGGGAGAAGAACCCACACACCAGGACTCTTCCGGTATGACCAGTTTTCTTTACCTACTTTGTCACTTGACTGCTACATTATAGGCTATGTAAGATTTAATTAACCTTATTGTATTGATTAATAGGGGATGGACAGTAATCACTGCTCTGTCCTTGGAAATCTGACTGGTGTCTGCAAACAATCTACTATTCTGACACTCTGTAGAGCAGGGGTCCTCAAACTCTGGCCCCCCAGATGTTGCTGAACTACAACTCCCATGATTCTTTGAATTACATAGCCAGAGAATCATGGGAGTTGTAGTTC